AATTAGAACGCCCGCATATGGTAAAGAAATCGTATTTTGGAGACTCCCTGTTAAAAAACTCCCACTTCACCTCCACTCACTAATTGGCATTGATTTGGTGACCTTTGACTTAGTAGACATGTGCTAGCACAAATAACGTGCCCTTGTCAATGGTGTTGTAACGAGAACGATATCGGTCAGTATAAATCCAGTGTCATTCCGGCTTGTATAAGAATAGTTGAATGCAAGTCCCTTGTTAGATCTTTTCCTTTACCAGACCAAGTGCTCTGTGCACGTTCTCTAAAGAGTCACACTAGGACTATTAATTGCTACATTCGTAAAGTGAGGAGATATTTGAGAAGGCAAACCCTAACGCCTTTGATACTGAATTTAATAGGCTTGAATGCTTATGTCAACAAGGAGTTCTTGGATCCTTTTTCAGGTGGAGAAGAAAATTTCCCAATAGCAGCCACTTTATCCCACCTCTCAACCCAAAAAAATTACTCAACTTTTCTGTCTACTATCAATGAGATGAGAGTCTTCTTGTCACTCAATCTCACTACAATCCGCCATTATTTCTGAGGTTGAACCTGTTGAACAACTTATTTTGGGTCTTAAACGAACTCATTAAAACCACTCCGTATTGCCCCCCCCCCCGAATCATGAGTTCTTTCACAGTATTTTCAGCCATTGTGCACGGAGTGAGGTAGATCCAATGTCGCTCTGAACAGAAAGTTAAGCTCAAACCCTAAACTTACTCCCAGTACTTATAGCTATACCTATTAAAAAGCAGCACTGCATTCGATAATTGAGAGAAGTATATTCTTCGTGGTAAGGTTAAAGTAATTCTCACATTAGAAGTAATATTTGTCACATAAGTCTCAGTCAGTAGCAAGACGGGAGGGGGAGTGGAGGGGGGAGGTGGGAGGGAGGGAGGGAGGGAAAAGAAGGGTAATCTAATTTTGCAATTCATTCGCGTCATGTCTCTGCGGTAACAAATAACCTCCCTCACCCCCCACCACACCCCCCAATGTCGAATCCAACGCAGAAGAGATAAAAATAAGGGCGGAAAAAGACAGAGTATCCGACTGGCAAGAAAGAAGCTGAGGGGGGAGGGAGGGAGGTAGGGATCTTAGAGAATTCCATGGTGGTGCAGTCAAGAAGGAGGGAGGAGCAAAATGCATACAAAAATAAACCGCACGCAAGGTTTGGTTATTAAATGGACATACGGACAGATGAAGGAGGGGGGGGGGGAGAGAAAAGGGTGGACAGGTGGGTAGTAGGACAGTAAGAGACCGTTCAATTTATCGATTTATAATTGATCGAAAAAATATATATATATACACAGGGTAGAGGTTCTAAAGAGAGGGGGCTTGGTAATGCTGTTAGATACGAGGGACACAACGTCATGTACACGCGAATTCGATGAGAATTTGAAAGAATAGTGGTGAGGGATTAGGATGAACATTCCGAGGAGACATCAGCCATGGTGGAGGGGTGGGGCGGTGGCAAAGAATCGATACGCGGCTTTGTCGACAAGGAAGTCTGTTGAACAGATGAATGAGGAAGAGAGATTTGGGAGGGTGGTAGAGGATGAGAGGTGTGACTGGAGCCACCAGAATTACGACCCTTCTTTGAGTGCTTTCCAAAGAAGAAATAGGAGAGGGCCTTTCTTGTTTTTTGACGTCCCATGGAATTTCGCTGTGGATCGACACTAGACGACTAAAAAAGGGAATGAAGGTGAAATTTAAGAGTAGGAGGCAATGAAAACAAAAAATTGGAATTCATCTTGCTGGAATGAAGTGGTGGGGGGGGGGGAGGGAGAAGAGAGGGGGTACCAATTAATATTCCGAAACAGAAGGTCAGTTTGTTCACATGGTTCGGTCATGATTTATATTTGAACGTACTTCAAAGGGCGGTTAAAGTGCATAAGAGCTAATTGGTAGTAAATATTTACGAGAGAATCAATTGCGATTTTTCATGAGAATCAAGTAAAACGGAGAGCAACAGCTGGAGAAAAATTTGCCATTTATTTGAAAATAAAGCCCTCCGCTTGGTAAAATGGATAGAAGTTGCACGCATAGTGAAGCGGGTTATAATGAATGAAAAGGGTGTGTGTGCTTTAGGCTCACTGCGATTACAATATCGATAACTGTCAAAGTAATCAATACAATAATCAAACGATAGGTCTGTAGGCTCCTAGTTAGTTAAAGAAGGCGCATATAAGCGCAATTTGGGCTAAGAAGTTTTCGAGCCAACATTTGTGTCAAAGGAGGATATAAAGATTCCGATTGTTGTTGAATCAATATTAGTTAAATCTAATGTAACAACACTTGAAAGACAAAGTGCTAGTAATCCGGTTCACCCTTAAATACTCCTTTCTCTTACTCATTTCTCGTATCTACCTTCCATGCATTTAGCAATTTCGAAGAAGCATTGCCCAGTAAAGAGAACACCAAACCACAATAGCAATTTTTGGGTAAATTGATTTAAATTTCGATCCAAGATGCTTAAAAATAACTCACGATCAAGATTTATAAGTGCGCCAAATCATTGGGCATATTGCGGAGTTCGGAACGGTCATTTTCTCTAGAGCAAAGACGCAGAAAAATCGCCATTGAAGTTCGCATTCTGAAGGTTAACGAAATGACCCCAAAGCAATTTATTGGAAAACTCAAGGCCACAGGCTATATGGTGGTAATCCAAGTGATGCAGACAAATTTAAACGTCCAATTAAGCTTCCATAAATAGCCCCCCCCCCCATGAAATACGTGCTATTTCCATGTTTCATATTGGCATCATTTAACTCATAATATTGTGACGAACTACAAACCCCACACTCCGGTCAACAGGGAGATATCTTAGAGGGAAAACACAAGTTAGTTGGATATACAAAATGAGCCCGTAATGGAAATAGATAAGGCTCATGGAAAAATTTTGCACACACGATTGATATTTATGTAATTAACAAAAAGTATTTCCCATCAATTGGTATAATACCATCGCCATAGTAATAGCGAACTTATATTTCTTCTTTCTCAAAAGAGCGCTTTAATTCAAAAGTGGGTTTACCTCAAAAGCGACTAATCAACAGAACCCCCCCCCCCCCCCCCCAAGATATAATATTGGGAAAAGGGGTCACGATTGTGAAGCACATTTAGTACTTCCTGAGGTTAGGTAGGTCACAAGAAGCTTAATAAGAGACTAACTGATGACAAGAGACGTCTAAAGATCCATCACCCACCAACACCTCAGGAGTAATCAGCGCTTTAAAGTGTTTTGGGTTTATTTCGTGATGGCGTCCTACTATTTGTTAATAATTCATGCATGGCAGTCTTGGAAGAGAAAAAAATACGAAGAACAACTTCAAGGTCTGATACAATAGAGGAGAAACCAAAACTCATCAATTGAATAAACTGTGCCACACATAAGGACAATACTGACTAATTATTATAGCTACTAGTCACAGTCATCGCTGATCGTGCTAATCTTGGCAAATAGTAAATTTATTTACTCGACTTAATTTCTCATCAAATCTGCCTGTAGACTAATACCAATTACCATTGGTCTCGCTAATTGCCAACTCCCCCACACGGGCCACCAATTCAACTCCGCCAATTAAATGAGATTTATTGGCTGACTTTAAATAAGATCTGTTGTCTATTACCATACCACTATCAACATAAGCTTATTCGGTCGCACCTTCGACAAATCGCTTCGGATTTGAGATTTGAGATATATTTGGATGACCTTTTGCCAATTCCGTGCTTTTGTCGGCAGATCAGGACAATAGAAAGTCGGCTTTGCGGGTCGGAAGCGCTTCACATTACATTTTGCAAAACAGAGTAGAAGAATACTTGCTCAAACCTGTGCTGTATTAGTAGACCTGCCTTACAAGCTCCACCCATATATCGATTCACTGCTACTTACCGCTGTCCAGGCGTCTTAATCCATTAACAGTTAAGTCTGCCTTTATTCACCTTTAAATAGACTAGCCAATTTAGGTTAGGCTCACACCCGCTGGAGCTTCTAAGACACTAATT